TGCTCTTACGACGTTTTTCCTAATCGGACGTATTTATGCTGAAAGGAACTATGCTCCACGCAAACCCTTTGCACATAGTTCCTTTCAGCATAAATACATCCAATCGTGGTTGGATAGTGCGCTGGATTTTCCGGGAGTGTGTTCGGTTAGCAGGTTAATAATTGGAGCGTGCAGGTTTAAAGCAAGGAAGATTTATATCTGTTTTCCCCAAGTTTATGTGGGAAAAATTTTCCGCCTGAATCTGATGAGTTTCTTTAGAATATTTTCCGCGAGGAATCGATTTCCGTGGAACCGTAACGGGAACATTAGGACACCTGCCCCGCCCACCATTTGCATTAAGGTGATTCGATGGACGCCATATTTTGTGTCAAAACGGTATGCGATATATCGCATCAATTGGTTCCATTTTTTCAGATACTCGTCATTTTTCTCCAATTTTGAGATTGCAATTCTGTTGTCGGGACATTAAAGCACTCACTTACCAATTTTTACAAAGAAATTCAACGTAATAAAGGCGTGGTTTTTTTAGAGGAAAAATATCGCATTCGAGTGCAGTTTCGATGTCAGTATCGAATGCGATATCTATACTATAAGCTCTCAAGCCTCCTAATTTTGCGAAACTGGTAACGCTTAGTTCCAGCGTTCTACCGGGCCGATGTTTATGATTTTTGCGGCTATCGACGGGCAATTGTCTCTAGATAAGCCAACTCTTTTCAGATTTTCAAAATATGGCCTAGGTTTTTTTATATTAAGTGGTAAAGTTGCGAATTCTCCCATTTAAACAATGTAAATTTATATTTTTTGTCATAGTTCGTTTGAGCGTTCTACCGGGCCGATTTCTAAGTTTTTTACGGTAATCGACGGGTAATTGGCCCTAGATGAGCCCGCTCTATTCAGATTTTGGAAATAGGACCCAGGTTTTTTTACAATCACGTTATAAAAGTGAGTGAATTTTCAGAATGCTCCGAGACTGCTACCGCTATGCGCGGGAGGATGCGCAGTGGTCGAGGAGGTTGCGCAGTAGGTGTGTAGCCTGCGCATCATCTCTACACTTATCTACACAAGATTCGCCCCGTCTGCCTCAGGTAGAGCGGTGGCCGAGTCGTCAAAGACGTCGGAAACGTCCACCTTAAACATGGTATGGGTTCGATCCCCGTCTCCCGAAACTCTTAATTATTACCTGATTATCAATGTTCGTTGTTTTACTGCAATATTTCATCAAGTAGTCATTCCAAAACGCGTTCTTTAGACTTCAAAAAAATAATTTTGTTTCTTTATTCATCAAAACCAAAAATTATTTCATTCTAAAAGTAAAGTATACCTTATATCGTAATTTTTTAGGGGAAAAATAAAACTAACACCGATAGGAGGGTAAAAATAGGGCCGCGAAGCGGCCCATTGATGGCGCGGAGCGCCTTCAGGGGGTTGGGCCGCGTAGCGGCCAGGGGGCGTAGCCCCCTAGTTTTCCCTCTAAAGAACCATGCCTTTATTACGTTGAATTTCTTTGTAAAAATTGGTAAGTGAGTGCTTTAGTCTCCCGACAACAGAATTGCGATCTCGAAATTCGAGAAAAATGATAAGTAGCTGAAAAAGTAGAGCCAATCGATGCGATATATCGCACGTCGTTCTGACACAAAATATGGCGTCCATCGAATCACCTTAAGGCGTGAGATGTGCGCAGAAAATTTAGGCTGTTAAATGTGTCTGGTGATGCCTAGGTGCCTATATGGTGATATCTCGTTCGCGGTGTCTAAAAAACTTCGCCTCTGCGTTATTTTTCAAAGGAGAACAAATTAACATCATCCCTTTAAGTTTATACAGAATTTCCTTTGCACAGAGAAGAAAAATCACGGCAGTTTTGAAGAATTGCCGTTCAGAAGTTTTCCGTTTAAAAAATAAAGTATGACAGGAAGTCTGCGACGTCGCAAACCGAGTTATGCTGCCGTTCTAAGCAAAAATGTCGTATGAACACCCAAGAGTTGCCAATTTTCCTTCGCTAAAATGCTAATTTTTGAGGAAATTTATGAATATTTCCCCTTGAAATTTTCAGGACTTTTCGGTGGAATTGCGAGCAAAATTATCTGAAAAAGTGGAGGGAAAATATTCATGAGTTTACCAGGAAATTCGTGTTTTTTCAAAGGAAATTTGGAAACGCCTGAAGGTTCATACGGCGTTTTTCCTTAGCACGGCAGTATGTGATTGCTGACTTACACCGTCGATACTCACTTATTCGTACATCGAGTCGACACGAGACCCATCTAATCAGATGGAATCTCTGGAAAAAGTGCGGGCACGATGAAGCTGCCCTATCAACAGCACATCGTCCGGGGCGACAGGGACACGTCTCTCCAGGGTCGCTCGGCGGGGATTCCCTGTCCGTCCGTACCATTTGATCCCTCCCTGGCGCAGGGATCGGGGGACGAGGGGGCGGTATCCGCCCGCCCTTCAGGATCACCGAAATTCTCGAGTGAGCTCGCAAAGCTAACCTGACACTTGAAAGCTCTCGTTATCAGGCCTCCAACTCTCGGGCGATTGAAATACCCGTCGCGCAGTGAATCGAGTCAGTAGGAGTGGTCGGACGAAATTTGGAAAGTTTAAACGCTTATAACTCCGTATATACAAAACTTAGAGGTCTTAAAAGTGGTTTCATTGGTTTCCTCGTGTGATTTTCTTTTTAGAGCATCCCTTGTAATGTAACATATGACGTAATAAGCATTAAAATTTGATGTTTTAAGGTCAAACATTTCATGTCCGACTTATCAGATTGACTCGGTCCACTGTGCGTCGCTGGCTCCGCGGGAAAGCTCGCACTTTCGGCAGGGGCTCGCGTTTTTCTTGACCGAGGGATCTCTAGTAATAACGACTGGCAGAGAGCTCTTTTCAAAAGTTCTTGAAGGGACTGTAAAAATTGTGTACTGGGTAACGTTTTTTTGGAGGGGGAGGGGGGATTTCAAGTAAAAATATAACGTATGGCATAATTGACATAAAAAATATCTGACTAATGCATTTCTGTACTAAGTAAGAACGCCGTATCAGCCATCAGGCGTTGCCAAATCCTCTTCCGAAAAATCCTGAAATTTCAGGAAACTTTTTGAGGTTTCCACTTCCAACTTTTCAGATGATTTCGTTCTTGATGTGATCTATGAGGTTGAAAATTTCAAGGATAAATATTCATACACATACATACAAGTCGCTTTTACAGCGCGCCTTATTCCATCTCTTGATCTAAGTAAATCATGGAGATGAGTCTCCCCTCAAGATCATGTAATACGGAAACATCAACTTTCTATCGAGAGAAATCTCGGATTCTCTCTGAGATAAGTGTAGCAAATTGAAACCGAGTGGACTGCAGTTCTGCTAAAATTATGCAATTCCGTCTTCGCTGCAGAGACAAATTTACATAATCAATTTATTTTTTAATTAACATTTTTTATTTGATGTGAAAGAGAAGCCGTTCAATCTTCCGCGCTTCCTCACAATATTAGATGAGACTGTTAAACTTCACCCATACTGCGACACCCCCGACAAGATTTTATCGATTTAATTTTGCAATTAAAACCACAATTTTCGGTTTATCTGTAAAATCGCGTATTTGCAGATAGATACGGATGCCAATCACGTCGTTTCTAAAAAAAGAGCCTGAAATGAGCTCTTTATTGCCAAATAGCAAATACTGTAATTCTAAGCGCATTCATCAAAAGTATGGCAAATGATACCAGATGTCTTGTTATCCTTACTCCGTAGTATCACTGTATCAAAAATCAAGTATACTAATGATAGAATTTACCATGCCTCCGGCAAAATTCACCTTACTTTGATTTCAGTACAACATTTCAAAAATACTACATTTTATGACATGCTGCAAATTTCGAGATTAATATGATTGTATGAGGACTAAAAATAATTTTTTCACCATTCTAAGATGTACATTTTTACAGATAACTCTCTCCTGCATGAGATGTCAATTATCTCTCAAAAATTAGCAAAAAGATAAAAATGTAAAGCTACGTAAGGACATTTGACTATTTTACGACGCAGTTGGCAAAATACCTGATTTGACTAATTACTTGTACTACAAATAAGTTGTTTTGTCGGATGAACGACATTAAATTGAATAAACGGAAACTGTACCGCGTTAAGGAGAAATCAACAAAGTTACATCAGCTTTTGCCAAATTTAATGGAGCACTTTAACTTCTTACAAGAGAATGCTCGTGGGGACTTTTTTGAAAATTTTAAGGAATTTGCCACGAATTATGCAGAAAAATCGCAGAAATTTGCAGAAAAATCCGCACAAATGTTTGCTAAATTTTACTGCGCAATTTAATTTTTTTCACAGAAACGGTTATGCGCAGTGGCGTGCCGTGCTTTGCGATGTATCGATTGATCGGCCATTTAAACCTATGGAAAAGTATCGATAAACAGGGTGTTCGCAGCGAACACCTTAATAATCGATTATTTACCACAGCTTCAAATCGGGATATGTCGATAAGTCGCAAAGCACGCTACGCCACTGGTTATGCGGGTTCTTGTTCAAATTCCAGTAAATTTTCCCCATAGCACGAAACAAATTCCTTAACATTTTTAAAAGAATCCGCATAAACGTTCTTTCGTAAAAAAATTAAATTGCCCAGTTAAATCGTCGTCCCCCTGACGTAAAGACGTGTCTCGATTTTTACGTGAACCCTGTCTTTCATATAAATTTACGCTTCCTGGGGCTCATGCAAGAATCGATATACGCTCTTACGTCAGAGGAGCGACGAAATGTGACATAACTGATGTGGCCTGCGGGCCGATTACTGAAAGTTTAAAGCAGCCCGATAAGACATCGAATTGCGATATATTACACGGTTAAAATAGGGCTATGTCTTGTCGTGTCGGGCTGACATAGTTTCAATAATCGGGCCGCTGGTCTCTTTCCGCTTAAAGCGGTCCAACTATCCTCTATTTAAATAAAATGCGTAAACGCATCTTTCCGTTTTTGTGTATTTACAAAGCATGCTAAAACATACATCTCGGGCGGCCCACCAGAAACTTATTCCACAGATCAAAGAGCTCCCGGACCCTGGCGACGCCCATCCAATGATCATCCCGAAAATTGCACTTCCTATCCCTGTAGGTGAACGCCGCCGATATCCCCACCCTCTCTCCCCCCACGGCCTGGAGAAGGAACCCCGTGTAGAAAGCGTCCTCCAGGAAGAAGTACGGCGACTCGAGAGCCTTGTCGTAGAGCTCCCTCACGAGATCCCCCGTGATGACGTAGCTGAGCCCGCGGATGTAGTCGGGGAACATGGGCGGGGCGTAGACCGTCTGCGGGACGTAGTTGCGATCCCTTCGGTCCCGCACGGGGTGCCAACCTTTGAAAAGCTGTCCGAAAATTGTCCGCGTCGCTAGAACCGCGTCGGATTCGACGAGGTCAAGCAGCTTCGGGATGTTTAGGAACACGTCGTCGTCAGCTTTTATGATGAACTGCGCTTTCGAGCAGAAGGTCGTGCTCCACTCCAGCATGGCCGTGATTTTCAGCGTCAGGTTGGCGTACGAGTCCACGAACCTGTGAACGCGAGAAAACTTGCCACGAGAGAAATTTCAACACTTAAAGGAAACTTTTATTGAAAGAAGCCTCCGTTCTTTGTCAAATGGGCCTGTTGCAAAATTTTGCTACAGCATAAATGGACCGCGTTAAACAGAAAGGAACCAAGCCAAATCAGCTATTGCCAAATTTAATTGGGCAATTTAATTTTTTACATGAAAACAGTTGTGCGGATTTTTGTGCAAAGTTCAGTGAAAATTTTCCATGGTAGGAAGCAAATTCCTTGAAATTTTCAAAGAAATCCAAACAAACGATCTCTCATAAAAAGAAAAAAATCAATTTCTTAGTTAAACTTGACAATAGCTGATGTGGCTTGGTTCCTTTCTGTTAAACTCGGTCCAAATAAGGGTTGTTTCTTATACACAGAGAAAAAAAAAACTTCGTGCGTGGGACCCGAAGTTGAGGTCATATATGGATCTCCGAAGTTTTCGGATCACGTATCTAGAAATTTGAGGTCCAGCTGCCGAAGTTCGGGTCAGACATCTGAAGTACTTCGATATATACCGAAGGGTTCGGGTCACACATCTGAAATACTCCGGTACATACCGAAGTGCCTTGATGTCTGACCCGAATTTCGGAAACTCGACTTCAAGTTTTCGGATGCGTGATCAGAAAACTTCAGAGATCCATATTACCTCAACTTCGGGTCCCAAGCACGAAGTTTGTTTCTCCGTGTAGATAATATCCCAAAAATCACGATGAGCGCATCGGCAAACTCTGAAATGCACTCCTAACTTCAAAATCTGCGTCAGAAATTTGCCTTCCAGAAGAAGCCTTTCCAAGAAGGATACTACAGCACAGGTGAACATTTCATTAAAGGAGTCGTTCCATTCCCTGCTCAACATGCCCGATGCTTCGATACGGCCTAAAGGCTCACACGGCATTCTTCTTTAGTTATTACTAACAAGTCACTCTTAAAGCGCTTCTGTGCGCTCTGCGACACCCAACCGCCACTGATAGCGATCCTGCCAGAGCTCCTCCGGCAGATTGCATCTCCTCATTCCCTGCCTTATTCCCTCAACCCACGATTTGGCCGTTTCTTCCTTAGCACGACAGCATAATACAAGTACACTGGAAAAAAAAAAAAAACACATTGGATCTAGAGCCCAGACTCTTAAAAACATCTACAAGAAAAAATACTTTTGATTCAATCAGATTTAAGTTTAAATCAAGAACCAAGCCTCTTAATTTGAGCGGATTTCCCTTTGATTTAAGCTTAAATCTGATTGAATCAAGAGTCCTTTTTCTTGTCAATGTTTTCAAGAGTCTGGAATCTAGATCCAATGTGTTTTTTCCATTGTACATTTTCGAGCACTATTCCTTACCTTCCCGCAATGACGTCCCCGTAGAGTTCGGACTCCTCCTCCACGGACGACGGGAGATCCGACGCCGGATCCGACGCCTCCCCGGGACGCCCGACGACGAAGGCCACGACGATGTCCTTCCGCTGCGCGAAGCTCCCCCAAGTCTGCCGGATGGCCATCCGCTTGTGAAAGTTCCCGCGCGCCGACGGAATCAAAACGGCGAACTTGAGGTCCTCGCCGGACGCCGGACACAACTCCGAGTTCCGGATGTCGAACCCCGGCTCGTAGAGGTCCCCGACCGCGGTGTTGTTGATGTACTCGACAGCGTCCGGATCGTTCGGGTCGAAATCCTCCGGAGAGTAAGGTTTTACCCTCAAGGGTGCTCTGCGTTTGGATCCGGGTGAGTGGATGAGTAAATCGAAGATGCAGAGTAAAGTTGCCATGGTGAAGAAGACGAGTAACGCGAGATTAAGACTCGGGCGCAGAGTCCGGTGGCGCCATCTGGGGATTCTTAGTATCGTCATGGAGGAGATTTTGTGCGTCACCGGTCGAAACAAAGGAGAGGATGGGAGAAGGGAGAGGAACAGGAACAAACATGAGAGACTCAAGAATAAGACGAAAAGTAATCAAGAAAACGACATTGAAGAAGAAGGTGATTGAGGACACCAATTAAAATGAGAGGAACAGGAACAAACACAAGATAGTCAAGAATAAGAAGATAAGTAATATCAAGAAACTGATTTTGAAGAAGAAAGGAAGGAAAAACAACAGGAAAAGAAGATGAAGAAAAGGAAGCAAAAGAAGAAGAGAATAAAGAAGTGAGAAGAAACGAAAAGATTGAAGCTACATTGACAACAACAAAAAAGGCGGTCGATGACAAGGATTAAGGAACTGAAAAATGAATTGAAAAACAGGTGAAAGAAAAAAGTGTAAAATTATGAAAAACTTAAAAAGAGGAGGAAATGCACTTAATTTTAGATGTAGAAGACATAGATAAAGAGGAATAGCAACAAAAATGAGGGTGAAAAGAGGGCCAGGATTATCTACAAACTTTGTCACGAGACGTATTTTTGAATCGTCGGGATGTATTCTTCTTACATTTTGTGTTGAGTTTTCCGAAAGCAACGATATTACGTAGCAACTACCTCACGGAGCTTCCAAGCAGTAATTTTTAAGTAATTTACAAATTTGATTTTCCTGGTGAAAATTCCGAGAAGGAAATCATCGAAGAAAGTCTCGAGAAAAAAAGGTAATTAATTTCAGCCCTAATCAGGAAATACATCGGCAGAATCTGTTTTAAAGTTGAAATTGATTTTTGGTTGGTAAATTTCACTAAGAATTCCTAGTTTGCTGTAGAACAGTTCTTATATTTACATTTATCGTATAAATATTGAAATTATTATATCTGTTCGATCAATCAACGAGGAACTTGGATCCATTATTAATTACATTTTGATCAGATTTCCGAGTTAAAATCCTTAAGTCCATACCACTTGGAACAACATATTGCTCAAGAATAGTATACGTTCATTAAACTGGAGAGCACAACAATGTGTGTGTTAAATTTCAAAGAAATAAGGATGAAAAATAATCCCCGACAAAAGTTAGATTTCTCCATTTGTTAAATTAAAGAAGCCTTTAAGTCACGTGACTCAAGAACAGTCTTACACATTCAAGCAATGAGTAACCTTGACCTCAAAAATATTTGAATACAGGATAGTATCACTTTTTCTAAATTGCAGTGAACATGAAAAAAATCTACTGTAGCACATCAATCATGTTAAATGGCTTTGCGTCTATTATCAGTGAACTAGTTTAGGAGAGGGGAGGGGACAACACTGTAACACAAACACTGCACCTTTTTTCCATTCAATTTTTTAACATTTCTACTTGAAGAAAAAATGAAAAAATTGTAAGTGCTAGTGAGACGGCAACCGATACGTGCGAACAACAGTCGCACAGTCATCAAAACGAGGCCGGTCGCAGACCTTGACCCACAACAAACAAACTAGAGCATTTTGAGGAAAAGTGAGAGGATAAGCACGACTTGCTAGCTAGATAATAGACAATAGAACAAACCAAAATGCGGGAACATGCAATCGGACCTGACATCCATAGCGTCCCAAGGAAATCTCATAGGAACTTTGCACGTCATTTGAACTAAATTTTGAAATTAGATACTGCAATTTCTGGGCAATCCGTAAAAAAGAAGAAAAAGAATAAAAAAAATTTGCAACCTCCCCCCCCCCCCGAAGATGGTCTCCTTTAAGATGGAGAAACACTCCCAAAGTTTCGCTTTTTTTTAACTTCAAAAGTTAGAGGGGGAGCCTTTTTGAACACTCTGAATAATCGATTCTCGCGGCAATGGCGCCTATCTTGTCTGGAACCAATGTCCGCAGGACTCCATAAATACGGTGTCCTACACAGGCCGTAAAATTCGGTTCTAGGAACCGTATCCTCGCGAGTCCGTGCTACCGGGACATTAAACCAAACCGAACCATTGAGAAAGTTCGGTTGCATATACCGAATATACGGAAGGCAGAACCGAGAGTGCGGTCACATGAACGTACTAATACGTTCGATACAGAACACTGTGCGCACCGCTCATATGAACGAATTTAATTTCTCAATGTGTAGCTCAGTATTGCCAACTTACAGAAATCGTCACTGGTTCATTCTCAGTTATTAGGATTACAATCTTGCTAAGATTGACACTTATTATCCCTTTGCATTTATTTGTACAAAATTCTTGGTTATATCAATTTTTTTCGTTGTCTTATTTATTTATATTTTCAAGTCCATTATAAAGCTTTTATTTTTTGCAGGTAAGGACATGCTCTATTGCTTTACCCAACATTTCTCGTTTTATATCTGTAAGTATTTTTAAACCAACATTCTTAACCAACCCAAAGATAAATCATGTTTAGCTTTTATGTGTAATTGCATGGACCGATTTATATGGTTCGCAGTATTCAATATTTATAGTAGTAAAGAAAATGTTTGTGCCCAACAGTAAAGATCTATTCACTGGAAAAATGGTCTCTTGTATCCAGAGTCCAGACTGTAAAAAATGTTGACAAGGAAAATACTCATGATTCAATCGAATTTGTGCTTGAATCGAGAGCTGAGCCCCTTAATTTAAGCGGATCTCCTTTTAGTGCAATCGAATACCCGATTGAATCATGATTATTTTTTCTCGTCAAAATTTTTAAGAACCTCTACTCTGGATCCACGAGACTATTTTTCTCAGGATTAAAAAAAAGCATGTTACGTTATTCAATCCGATCAAAAAGAATTCAGAAGGGGCGATTTCAGTTCAAGAGAGGTTTGTACCTCGTGGAACCCCCTTCGGCTACTTCATTAAATTATGCAATGGGTCAGTAGTGTTGATCATAGAATCGTGTTTTGATGCTTGATTCTCGTAGATAGAAACAGCAACTTTCCACAATCAATATTAGCCGAGCTATCGCGCTTTGAAAAATTCGATTTATGATGTCATCGATCGCAGTAATGACACCCTTGGTTTCTTCCACCTTGCATTCATCAGTCAGGGGGAGACACATATTTTCACTGGTTTCTCACCGTGAAACTTGGATAAAAGCAAGGTGGAAGAATCAAGGGTGTCACGACCGTGGTGGATGACGTCATAAAGCAACTTTTTCAAAGCACGATATCTCGGTCAATAATTGCGCCTAACACAGAGCGGCCGGCGTTGAACATATATTAGCGCCTACAAGATTGTGTGAATACTTCACGCATTGCGCCAAACAGTGCGGTCAACGTGAACCGCATATTCGCACTTACAACTTACAAGACAGCCTGAAAACTTCTCGGATTGCGTCAAAAGCAGAGCAGTCGGTCAATTGGCGTGAAACGCATATCAGCGCCTACAAGACTTCGAGTTCGGTCGGTATCACGCCCTTTTGCACTTGTTGTTCATCGGAAAACTCGGATTAAAGCAAGGTGAAAGAAACCAAGGGTGTCATTACCGCAGTGTATGACGTCAAAACCCCGACTTTTCAAAGGGCGATATTTCGGCTTATATTCAACGTAGAAAGTTACTGTTTGGATGGATCTTATTATTTTTAGCTGATCCACAAATTCAAGCATCAAAACACGATTCTGTGACCAGCAACCGACCCATTTTTTTCAGTGGCGTGGCGTGAATTGCGATGTATCGATTGTTCTGCCATTTAAACCTATGGTAAAGAATCGATTAGTAAGGTGTTCGCTTCGAACTTCCTGTTTATCGATAATTTTCTATAGGTTTAAATGGCAGACTAATCGATACATCGCAAAGCACGCCACGCCACTGATTTTTTTCGGAGCAAGAGAAGAAGTGAGGTTCATCGGTGATTTTTCGACTTTTTTGTGTGTAAGGAGATGGTGTTAAAGAGAACGTTCCGTATTTTCTCATGAGGCATGGAGACCTGCGTCATGGATATGTTACAGAGAAGGGGGGAGGGGGTAAAAATCCAATTGAAGACGCTTTGAGCTTGCACTCTTCATTTAAATTTTCTCAAGTTTTCGGATCATTAAGAAACTGCAAACTTCCAACTCGTTCCCTCGCGCTCGCTGAAACGGTGCAGGGGTTGGGAAGTGTCAGAAGCCGCCTCGGTTTCAGCTCCGCGGACAGTTTTCGCGCTGAAATCACACCGCGCGCCGGGAGCCCGGACCGAACAATCAGTCAACCTCAACCGACAGCACTTTCGCACACCCTTTCGCTCACCCTTCAACGCTCATCCCGCCCCTCGCAATACTCAAACACCCGCCGAGATTAAAACAAAGGGCCGTTGACACGAACGCAGCAAATCGATGTTAAACCTGATTGTGATTTCTCCGCCACCGCCAGATCTCTCGCTTAAATTCGCCTGTAATTGGACACACACAGGAAAAAAACAAGGTGGAAAGCTCAAATAGGTCTTATTCGATAGCGGTTCGAAGTATCGTTTGGTTCAAAACAATAAAACACAACCTCGAACAAAAATTTTAAAATTCAAGTCAGCAAAGCTGGAAAAAGAAAATTACTTCCGAATCGGCGTCTCATTGCCATATGGCGCTTATTAGAATAAAAAATCACAAAAACCAATCAAGAAGCCATTCCTGCATTGACTTTTGAGGCTATATGTTTACATGTTGAACCAGTCGATATCCATACAAACTCACCTGTTTTATGTATCGAATACGATCCCTACGTTTGTATTGGAGAAGCGCTCAGCTGCTTTCCACGTAGAAGCGCTTTCAAGTAAAATAATTAAATAATTCTATCTCAATTTAATCTTATAAAAACATGATAAAAATGACAGAAAAGTTTTTGGAATTTTCAATGCAATTTATTTTTAAAAAAAAATTGAAAAAATGCGTAAGACTTGAAAATAAGTTGAAGAATTTCTAAGATTTTTTTAGTAAAGATTTAAGTGAAAGTACTTTCCGCTCTACCACA